CAGCCATGAGAAAATTGCTTTTGCATTAAAGCATATCTCTGTAAATAAGCTGTTGACTTTGGCAGCAGCCTGTATAACAAGAAATCTGGCTGCTTAATTATGGAAACCAAGGGTCTCATCTCTTAGGATATAGATGTAGTACATCTGTAGAGGTGATGGCAGGGAGGGAGCCCTGAGCAGGATGCTTGTGGGAGTTCTGTGGATCTGTTTGAGCTTCTGGAGCTCTGCTACAACCTCAGTGTGCTGAGGTGGTTGTACAGACAAACCACAACACTCAGCCAGCAGGCCAGGCGGTCACCTTGAGGAGCCTGTCAGAGCACAGAGAGCTGTTGTTTCCTGTTGCAAAAAGCTGTCACACACAGGAAAATTTGGAACACTTTCATGATCCCTTCATGTAAGCCCAGGGGCACCAAATATTTAAGTAACACAAGTGTTTCCATCAGAGAAGGGATAATCACAAACATATGCATCATATAAAGGTATTGCTAGCCATGTTTGCTGAAATAAGACATTTTGTTTATATGCATTAAGCATCAGAGTGGAAATGCAGTTTCTTTTAAATATGTGAACTCCTTTAGCTGTGGTGGGGAGAGAAGTGAAGTGTAAGGTGGCTTCTGCTTTTGCCGGTGTGCAGCGTGAGATGGGATGGAACAGCTTAACATGCTTCACTTTGGTGCAAATGTTCCACTGCTTTTGGAACAAAGCATAGAGCTCTGACCACAAAGTGCTGTGGGTAGGCAGCCATCAAGCAGCGTGTCTTATCTTGTGGAAACCTTGAGTGTCAAACAGCATCAGGTGTTGCTAAAGAAAAGAAACTTTCTGGGGTTTGGATCGGCTTGAGAAGATCTAATGTTTCCAGACCTTTTTCAGATAAAAATGGGTTAGCTTAGGAATGGATAGGAAAAATCGTGCATCTTTTTTATGCATCTCTTCCCCAATTTGAAAAATAATAAAAGGGGCCCTGGCACAAGAAAGATGTGAAGCTGGTGGAGTGGGTCTAGGGGAGGCCATGAAGATGCTCAAGGAGCTGGGAGCACCTCTTCTGTGAAGAAAGGTTGAGGGAATTGGGCTTGTTTAGCTTGGAGAAGAGAAGGCTGTGGGGAAAGCCCATTGCAGCCTTCCATGCTTGAGTGGAGCCTACAAGTGGGAGGGGTACCAACTTTACATGGGCAGATAATGATAGGACAAGGGGAAAGGATTTTAGAAGAGGAAATTTAGATTAGAGGTTAGAGGGGTGTTTTTCACTCAGAAGTGAAGCGCTGGCACTGCCACCCAGAGATGGAGGTGCCCCAGGCCATGGATGGGCCCGGGGCAGCCTGAATTGGGGGCGGCCAGGCCGTGGCAGGGGTGGAGCTCAGTGATCTTTAATGTCCCCTCCAACCCAACCATTCTGTGTTTCTTTGATGTGACTCCTTAGGACATAAAAATGGAAGATAAATGCTGGCTGTCTTGAAACTAGTTTTTTCTTTGCTAGATGTGTGCTGGGTAGAGAGCCTGCATCCTACTGGGTCCTCTGCAGTCTCACAGCAAAGAAGAAACTCTACAACTCTTATTAAATATAACTTGAAACAGCTGGTGAACATCTCTTAAGTTGTAACACGGCACGGTTACTGCTGACTTGAGGGTTGCATGCACTGCCCAGGGGGCTACGGCACAGGCATGGTCAGTGTTTGACAACCAGCCGGTGTTTCCCACTGCTGAGGCTGGCTGTGTGCTGGCAGCGTGGGGCAGGGCGTGGATCCCACCTGAAGGGTTTGTGAATGCACTTACTGACTGTCTGGGGATAATGGGAAATCAGCATCTGCGTGTTTGCTGTGGTCTTCCTTGCAACCTCTGAGCAGCCACAGCAGCTGTTCCATTTTCTCGTAACTAGGCTGTTGCATACAATTAGATCACCTGCATCTTTGTTTCCCGTATGTTCAAGCAATTGATCCCATTACCTCACAGCCCTGTACTTAATTTCCTAGCTTTTATTACAGACGCAATCAAAAGAAATGGAATCTTACTTTGCTGCTTTCAATTCTCGGCTGCAATGGCTCTTTGTCCTGCTGGATTCTGTCCTGCCTCAGAAGGTCTCTGTAGAGCTCAGTGCCCCTTCTGCTGGTCCTGGTGCCCATTGGGAGCAGGGTGTAGTTTGCATGTGCTTAATGAACAAGAGAGAGAAAAATGTCTTGCTCTCTGGAAAAGGGCCGTGCTAACCATTGCAGTGCCATAGAGCTGGGGGTTTGAATGGGGTCAGAAATGGGGTTTGAATGCTGCTCTCTTGTGAATGTGAACATCTCTCTAGGGAGCTGTTGGTACCAACACACATCTCAACACGAGCCTCGTGTTTCTAGTGAAGAGTTGACTGTAGAGGGAAGTGGAAAGCATCACCCTTGGCTGGAAAACTGAACTGTTAAAAAAAAAAAAAACATGTAATAAAGAAACAACTCTGAGACGTCTGCGCTCACCGCAGCGTTGTGTAACCCAAGGATGCTGTGAGCTGCTGCTGTCTCCATGGGCTGTCCTGGGGCAGCAGGGTCAAATGAGGAGAGTGCAGTGGGATCCACAGTGCTCGTGCCTTACCATATGGAGGAGGCAGCTGGGAGCACTGTGGAACTGTGTAGGATCCTCAGTTGCGTCCCTGCCATTCTGCTCTCAGATAAACCAAAGGAGATGCTTCTGCTGTCTGTCAGTTATTGTCACTCCTTTCTGAGCCTCTCTGAAGCTGAATTTAAACTTGTAACATGCATTCTGAGGCTATCTGCGTCTCCCCATGTATTAACCTGGTGCTATCTGTGAGCTTGAGCTCCTGGGCCCTCATTCTTTCCCTGCTGCAAAAAAAAACAACCAGAAGCCTTCTCTTGGGTGGTGCTCTCAGTTTCTCTTTCTGAGGTACCCATTAGTGAGCATGAACGGGGTGCATCCATTTTGCCTTGTGTGGCTGGTACTTACCAGTATTGGTCTGACTCTGGTTGCCAGGCCTAGCCTGGGACAGCAAAAGGTTGTCACCTCTGGAGTTAATGCTTCAAACAAACACAACCCTACCTTTGAATGCTGTCTTTTTGTTTGTTTTCTTAACTACATCTTCAGTTGCTATTGGGTGTAATTTATGCGGCTCTGTGGGCTTTCAAGAGTTGCTTTTTAGCATTTCTACTAGTCATTATTGTAACAGGAAATATCATCTTCAAATACATATTTTACTATGTCCAGAACCTAATAAGTTTTCCTCCTACACAGCATTTTTTAAAATTGTTCTTTAAATCCTTGCATGCAAACTTGTACCTATATGTATTTTTTTAGCTGCTGGCTAATTCTAATTGCTGTCAGCACAAACTTCAGCCTGACCATCTAACCATGTCTTGTCTTTTGCTGTTCTTTGCTGACAAGCTTGGCGAAAGGGGGGCTTAGGAGGCAGAGAGAGAAATCTGATGCCCTTTTTCCCCTTCTCCTGTCCTTTTATCCTGCTCAACTGTTCCTGACTCCTATGTTGGGCGAGATCAACTTTGCCAAAATTTCGGTTCCTTGCTTTCTATCAAAAGAGCTTGCTGTGACGTGGGTGTCTGTCTGTGGCAAACAGTCCTGCCATCACTTGAAAACCCTTGTTAGCCCTGTGTATGGTTTGAGCAGTAGGAAACCAGCAGAAAGCAGAGCCTGCTGGTGTCGTGATGTGCCATGTGGATGTTCTCCCACTTGGCTCTGCTTACCAGCTGACCTCTGAAGGTGGCTACAGGTGAAACAGAGTGTGACAGCAGGCAGCAATGGCAGAGAGTGCCGGGAAGGGAGAAGTCTCTGAAAGTGTGCTCAGCACTGAGATGGATTCTTTGATGGTAAAATAACCCTCGTCTTCGGTTTGCCACAACGTGTGGTGTTAAAGGGCTCTTGATCTGAATAGAGATGATGCAGCAGGCATGGCTGAAACAGGGCTTTCATCAGCTTACCCACAAATTACAAAAATATATGTGCATTTTGGTGAAAATAGGAAGCAGTGGGTCAGTGGCAAACACATCTGTGACGCTTAAGGGATCTTGCTCACGTGCCTACAATCCCACCAAGATGAGCTGTCTGCATTGAACTTAATCAGTGTCAGAAGGGCATAGAGGGCAGCCTGGAGGGGGAAGACAACTCAAACACCTGACCATCCACCTGGGGGAAAGGTAGAGATTGCCTGATTTGAAGAGAGAGCTCAGGAGGGAGGAAGCTCTCAGCTTTGCCCCTTGTATTTTTACAGAAGTTGAAGGGCCTCAGAGGGCATTAAAGAAATAGGAACTCCCTGGCACCTGTGTCTATTTTGCAGCAAGTCACAGGGGCGGTGTCCTCAGCGCTCTGAGAAGGAGTATTGAGTAGGCTTGAACTGCTGGAGGTGCATTTCAGTTGCTTTTATTTTTTGTGTCAGAGCTAGAAGTACAAGACCCTAGAGGTTGCTGAAATGGTTTGTGCTGTGGATTCTCTTTTCAGCAAGGAGCTGCGGTGAACGTTCTCAAAAAGCAGCAGGGTGTCTGGTGGTGCACATCTGACTGATTGGTGTGGTTGGAGGCACAACTCAGCCCTTGCTTTGGAGAAACCAGTGTGCACACATTGTTAGAGCATGCTAACCATGAACTGCAGATTTTGATGTTCAAGATCAAAATCTTTGTGTTGGGGCTGCTTTCTTCAGCCACATAAGAGACAAAAATTACATTTGTTCTTGCATTAAGCACTTCATTTTTAAAACACTGCCCTCCTATAAATGCACTTCATTATGTCTATGAAATGAAAGAGCAAATAGCTATGGACAGTCTTTTGTGTAAATTTATGGTAAATTTATGGGAAAGCTCCTTGCCACTACTTAGAAATCAGCAGCCAATGAAGACTTAAATTGAGAAATGGAGATGCTGTCTCTCCTCATGATTTGGCAGTGAGCCTTTAAAAGCACTGGTCCCTGCAGTGTGCCTAAACTCTGAATCCTTCCTTGAAAGGCAAGGAAGTTCCACCAAGATGAGTAGTGCAGTGTCTGATCAGTCACCCAGCCAGGTGAGGTCCTACTGCAGCACTCGCCGTTGTTCAGAGAAGACTGAAAAGCAACAAGAACTGCCCTCTCCAGCATTGCTGCAAGTCGGAAGAGGACAGCAGTAAGTAATTTGTCCTTTGCAAAACGAAGCAGTTCTTGAGTGCCTGTTGCTGTACTTGATATAAGATCTTCATATTTCTGCTAAGGGGAAAACTCAGCTCTGCCTCTCAGCTCTCATGCAGGATGCCAGAAGCAGAAGAGTGTTATTCCCCCTGCTTGCAGTGCAGGACACCGCAGTGGAAAAGCAGCTGCCTCTGCCTGAGTGGGCTGCTGGAAAGGGTGGCTGGCTGATTACTCAGCCCCTGCCTGACAGCACCGTGCTGCTCTGTACACCTCCTTCCTGGGGCTGGTGCTGTGTGAGTGCAGTCTGCCACTAGCTCTGTCCGGCTGCATGTGCATGCTGCTGCAGTGTGGGAGGAGCAGGCGGGTGCCCTCAACTTGCAGCCGAGGGTGGAAGCTTTTTGGGGTTTGCTGTTGCTGCTTGAGGCTTTCATAGAGTTGCGGCATCTGAGCTGGGATGATGCAGGCACACAGAAGCAGAGCTGGGTCTTCCCCCAGGGCTCAGTCTGGGCCAGCCTCGGCAGTTTTTGGCTGCCACATGGAAGATCACACAAAGCGCGTCCAGCCCATCCCACTCCCAGCCATGCAGCAGAACTTGAACTATATGCACCCCCAGATCTTTTGGGTGGATGGCTGTGCCGATGCCAGTACCTCCTGCCATCCAGCATCCCCTGTCGCTCCCTTCCCTCCACCGGTACCCGATCGGAGGAAAAAGCCAAAGAGCAACAGAGAAAGGAGCAGCGTCGGCTTCCTGGTGATCTTCTTGCTGATCCTGCTGGCCCTCACTGGAGTGGGGCTGAGCATGTTTCAGATTTTCCACCTGGAGAAGGAACTGGCTGAACTCAGAGAGGTAAAGTCTGCCTGCTGGCCACACAGGCTGTGGGGAGAAAACTGTGGCAGTGACGTGTCTGCCATGTCAGTGTGCGTGGGGCTGTTTGTTACTGTGAAGGACTGCTCTGTTGGTGACTGTGGTACATATCTGGTTGTCCTGATGGTTGAGTGCTGCAGGCTCTCTCTCCCTGTGCACTTAACCTTGCAGCTCTGCATGAGCACTCAGAATAGCTGTTGTTGAGATGGTCTGGCTGCATCTAGATGGTGCTTTTGTGCTCTCACCCTGCTAAGAGAGCTTGTCACTCTTCTTTTGACAGTCTGTCAGCACTGAACACATCCCTCCAGCCCTGGAGAAGCTCATAGGTGAGTTGATGTACGTAGAGGAACTCCTCCTTGCCAGCGTGTGTGAATGTTCCTGCCAAATTCTTCCCTCCCCTTGTCAGGTGCAAAGGCAAGGGTGCAGCTCTGATGCTCTGGAAGTACTCATTACACTTGCTTGAAGAAGAGCACGTGGGGAGGGTGTCCTGCATCCTGCTTGCTGGAATGCTTAGTGGTGTCAGTGTGGAACAGTTTGCTTCTGCTTTAGGGTCTCCCAGACCCAAGTGGGGCACTGATACTGAGAGGTATTCTGCTGTGAAAGTGAATTTCTGGCTGTCCTAATGCACTGCAACAGCATGCACAGAAGGAGAGCAGAGAACCAAGATGCACATGTTATCACTTTTTCTCTTTGCTCTGTAAGATTTTTGGGATGACATACAGAGTTTTGTTTTCCTTGGGATTGGAAGATCTGCTTGTACCCTTGAGAGAGAGCAACTTTGTTCCTAAATTCCTTTGGTACAAAGTCTCGATGCAGTCAGAGTTAGATGAGAAGATCCTGATTCTGTGGTGATTTTATTCTCTTTAAAAAATGTCTTTTCACTGAAATTGAAACTTTCCAAAAGAACCTACTTTTTTTTTTTTCCCTAAACTTAGAGGAAAGAAAAAGTAGTTTCAGTCTCAATGGAACAATTTTAAAATCGTATTTTGAACTTTCAAACTGTCATTTTTATGATCTGTGTTAGTGTTATTAGTGATGAAATCTTTTTAAAGAAGGCCAAACAACTGGCTTAAGCAAACAAGATGGTTCTAAAATTTGAGAGCTTGATGCTCAGAAGTAGACACTGAGAGAATGGGCAAGATGGAGTAGGATGGGGTCCCTGTGCCCGGTCACTGTAACCAGCCCATTTCTCTAGGAGGACTCAGACCCTCCATGGAAGGTAGAATTCTCTTACCCATATTCTGCCCTTCTGAGGACAGGGTCTGCCTGGCTAGGCAAGTGCTTTCAGGATGTCTCAAATAGCTTTTCTGGTCCAGCTGTAAGGAGGTTTGGTACTTGGCAGCCAGATTTCCACTGCTGTGGGGGTGCTGGGCTGGAGTGGGGCAATAAAGCAGGTATGTCTGTGATAGGACACAAGCAGTCACCTCAACACAGACTAAAGAAGCCATGTAAAGGCACTGTATTATCCCTCTCCTAAAACCTGAGTGAATGTCCTCTGCTTGAGTTCACTGGTGGAGTCATTTGAAGATGAAAACTTTCCTTGCTCTCTTGTTTTTTCCCTTTGCTTTGGATCACATCTGATCCTTTGCTTCAGCTCTTGCTTTCTAACTCTTTCTAATGTTCTGTAGCATTTGGCTGAGCATCTTTCTATCTCTTTACAGCAAGCCATGGTGCCTATGTGCTCTTTGCTGCTGGGAATCTACCTCGCTTTAGCCTCGTGGATACCTGTTCTTCTCACTGGTTTGGCTTCTCCGTGGAGCATAGGGCTAAAGTCTCCTCTGTTTGCATGCAGGGCAGGGGAGCAAGCCAGTGAAAAAGGAAGCAAGGAAGGCAGCACACTTAACAGGTATGTGCTGAGGGGCCAGCAAGATTTGGGAGCAGTGAACAGGGCAGATGTTACCGAGGTGAAAGGGGCAGCTTGGCTGTCATTGCAGGGAACTGCCTTGCACAGACTTCCTCATTTTCCTTTAGAAATGCGTGTGCTCTGGCAACTTGAAGTTATTCCACTGCTAAAATATTCCTCTTATTCAGGCTTTTTAATGAGAGATATATTTTTTCCTTTGTTTTTTGTTTTTGTCAATGAGGTGCTTTCAAAAGCAGCTCAGTGCCAATTGAGCACATGGGAGGTGAGAACTCCCACCTCCGTGAGGTTGGGGTAGACTTCTCATGCTGCTCAAAGGACACAGAGAACAGGTGACTTGGTTGTGACTTGGGGTGTAACTGAAGGGAAAACACATTAGTGCTTGTACTTACTGCACTTCCACTCTCATTCTGGCTTCCAGGGAACCCCACACAGCGGAACCTCCCATTGGAGTGGGAACCCATCTCTGGTCATGCCTTCACCAGTGGCGTTCAGTACCGTGCCCAGGGCCTTGTGATCAATGAGACTGGTCTGTACTTTGTGTACTCCAACGTGCTTTTCCGGGGAAGGCACTGTGACAACGAGGTGCTGACACACGTTGTCTACAAGAGAAACCCAGCTTCACCAGGCAGCCACGTGCTGATGGAGGACAAGCGCATCAACTACTGTACAAAGGAGAAGATGTGGGCCCGGAAAAGCTACCTGGGGGCTTTATTCAAGCTCAGGGAGAGGGACAGTCTGTATGTCAACGTTTCCAAAATTGATCTGGTTAACTTTGAGGAATCCAAGACATTCTTTGGGTTATTTAAGCTTTAAGTGGTGCTGTTGAAATGTGGCTGGCAGCACCCCACGCACTGGGACATGCAGGGCATGACGGCCTCTTGAGAGGCAACGGTCCTATGTTGCCAAAACCAAAGCAGGGTCTCACTCTAGGAAACCCATCAAGAAACCACGTTTCAGCCTTCTGCATGAGAAGGCTCAAGCAACAGGTAAAAGCTTGAAACCAGACCTCTAGGAAGCACCTGGGCTGTCCTGTGGCTGTCTGAAGAGAATCACGCATTTTCTTCCTCCGAATAAAACCACCGCCCTGAAATGTAGTGCATCAAAGACCCTGTTGAAACTCACTACTTGCTCGAGAAGACTGCTACCTGAGAAAGTGCCAGGGCCTCAGCAGCACTGGCCCACACATGCTGTTATGCCCCCCATGAGCTCAGGCCATTTGGGGACAGCTGGCCTGTGTCCAAGAGGCCATCAGTCTGAGCTGTGCTGTGCCACGCCATCGGTGGTGATGTAGGAGTGAGCTCAGGCTGCTTCCCCTGAGCAATGGTCTGCCCATCCCACCTGGACACTTGGCACTGTAAATTGTCTGGCAGGCACCCACCTACCAGTTGGCTTGTTAAGCATGGTAGGTTTGTTTTGTGTTAAATTATTGACTGTTCCCTTCCCAGAAAATATCCCCACCCCTTTATTTAACTCACCTTGCAAGGAATGTGCTGGAAGTGGTGATGTTGTGAGGGGTCCTGGCCCTGTGGTGAAAACAAGGTCTTGCTGAATCCTCCCCATCCTATGGTGATGGGTACAGCATAAGGGCCAGGTACCCTTCTCACTGATAGGACCTGAGCAAACCAGCCCTAGCTGAGCATGGGATGCTCTCTCCTGGGCAAAACACAGATGGTAAATAAAGGTATATTTTTCTAGGAAATGGCACTGTATTCTCCTTATGTGGGACAGAAGGCTTTTGCAATGGCCAAAGCCCGGAACGCCTTTGGTCAGTGGACAGGACCCTGCTCTACCTCTAGCAGTGTGCCAGAAAAATTTTGCTCCCTGCCTGGTGGGGCACTGGGTCCCTGCCAATGAGCTTTCAGGCAATGAAAATTGTTGAGATCTGGGGATCAGGAAGGTGTGAGGTGGGCAGCTCAGACTGAGCAGCTCCATTTGATTGTCATGGAGAGGAGTGATCTAGAAATGCAGGGTTGAGCTCAAATTGAGAGAAATATTGGTGGAAAGTTTGGAGGGCCTCTGTGCTTTGTAAACATTGCTCTGGGTGTTATTTGTGGGCTATGGTTCGGATGTGGGTGGCTGGGAGCTCTCCCCTGCATGCTGGAGGTAGCAGTGTTTGGAGCTGGACACAAGCTTTTCCCCGCCCCCAGGTCTTGGCTGGAAGTGTTCTGGGAGGCAGAACACTGGCTGCTGAGCACAAGTGCTGCCATCCCCCAGAGCACCACACTCCTCTCGGTGCCTCCAGCCCCAACAGCACTTCACATGGCAGTCTGAGGGGTAAAGAGAGGAAGTCATACTTACTGTTAAATAACATTTGCTCACTCCAGCACTGGTCCACAAAGCTTCTTCCTTGCATGGATTAACCTCAACTTGCCATGTTGTCACTAGGCAGTACAAAAAGGCTGTGCTACATCATTTTTGCCTGTGGTCCAGTCTTCTTGCAATTCAAACAGTGGTTCTCCCACAGCATGCAACATTTATTTCCTTTTCTCTGGTGCTGTCCTCTGCTCTGTGGTGTATGGCCTGTGGTTGCTTGCTTTGTGGTAGCATGTTTCTTTGAAACCCAGGAGTGGATGAGGCCATTAGTGCAGACAGGTGAGGTGAACACTATGCCTCTGCTCACACAACTGGCCCTGCTGCACAGTGGAGCTTTCCATTGCATTTCTCAGGAAGGAAAGTGCCTCTAAAAGTCAACAGTTAGGAATCTTTTTTGCTTAGCTGATGCTTTCCCACTGCACCCGTCTCCTGCTGTCAGAGGGGCAAACCACTTAGTGCAGATACAGAGGTGTTGGACTGAATCTTTTAAGGAAAGGCTGGAAGCTTCTTCCCTTTTCGCCTGCTCTTTATGCTGTGTTGCTTTCTAGACATCCATCTGAAGAATGACTGTGCATCTCTCTTTATACATCTGTATGCTTGCAGCAATTTCTGAGCACATTGTGTGCTTCTTTTCTTTGCTGGTGAGGAACAGCTTGGAGAGATAAAGAGCATTCAGCACCCAAAGGAAACTGATGCTGAGTTTATGCACTCTGCTATTGTTGTATTAGTGAAGGGTTGAAAAGCTCCCAAAGCTTTGTATAAATCAGCACAAGGCAGCTCAGCCATGAACCTGAGCTCTGGGGCAGGATGTGGCAGTTGTTCTCACTGCACATCAGGAGGGGACAAGAATCTGTTAACGTTTTTATCTGATGTGCTGACAGGAATGCAGACCTGCAAGTCTCAGATAGTGGTGTGGTGAGGTGGATGGTGTTGTAAGTCGAGCTGGGGTCTCCAGGTGGACAGAGCTGCCTTTCCTTGTGGGACAAAGCAATGAGCCTTGCTCCTGAGTCAGAGAGCAGCTGCTACTGTGTGGAGCCTGTAGCACAGATGCCAGTTACACACGTGCTTCTGCCTTGCGATCCCGTTCTCAAACATCGCTTCAACCTGAACGTAGAAAACCCACAGCTGAGCTCATGGGCTGTGGCTGAAGATTCAAAGTCGTGAAGATTCAAAGGTCGTGACAGAAGCATTAAATTTTAAACTGCACAGGGTTGATTCACAGACTGCTTGTGAGAGCAGCTTTATTAAAGCCATCAGTTTAATTATCTAAGAAGCTGTTCACTGATTGGAGTATTTGCTTAATGTTAGCATTCTTTATTTAATGATGGCATTGTTAATGCTTCTGTGACGGAGGGAACACACTCAGAGTGGTGGTGCATTGGAAAGGGCTGCTTTTTCTGAGAAGAAATGTTTCCTAATATCCAGCCTGAACCTGCCCTAGCACAGCTTGAGGTCTCTCCCTCTCGTCCTGTCGCTGTTACCCAGGAGCAGAGACAGAACCCCACCCTGTCACAGCTTCCTTTGAGGCAGTTGTAGAGAGCAGTAAGGTCTCCTCTGAGCCTCCTGCAGACTGAACAATCCCAGCTGTCTGTGTAAGCCAAGCTCCTCTGTACTAATGGAAGAGTCTGGGCCATGTGTGGAAGTACTGCAGGGCTTGGGCAGTGTTTAATAGCACTCCAGGGAACTTCTCCTCTGTAGAGAACACAGCTGAGAAGTGATGAGTCCAGAGCAACTCCTGTGAAGCACCTTCTGGTCAGCTCCTAGTGCCTGGGGGTCTTCTGTGGCTCACAGCCTTTCTTCATCTGTGCAGGCATTCTATTCCTATGTGATCCAGCTCAAAGCTGATCCAGCAAGTCCATTGCAGGCACACCAACTCTCATAGTTAGCTGAACCCTTTCCAGGCAATGCCTGCATGTCTGGGGTGTGCAGCTGGCCAAGCCTGCATGACATAGAAACACTCATGCTGCTATGTGCCGAGCGTAGCAAGCTGCTCGAGGGAGATGGGCGCTTTCGTGGTTGATGTGTATCAGATGCTGCATCCTATTTATCTACCCTGGTGGGGTGAATAGTGCTGCTTCTACAGCAGAAGTGCAGGAAGCGAGAGGAGGTTTGGCAAGCTCTGAGAGGCAGAGCCTCTATGAGGTAGGATGAGTAACGAGCGAGGCTGAGGTTGGGTGCTGCTCCTCACGGACCCGTAGAGATGAGAGCTTCTGCTGCGGGCAGCTTTCCCCCCACAGAGAGAACCACCTTCAGAGAAGCAGAAATGGCCTCTAATAGTTATGGCCAGTGTCTCCCATATCCCTCCTATTGATATTGCACCTGCGTCTCCTGATTTTTCACTAGGCTGTGGTTACTTGTGCTGCAGAGGAAGGTCACTGGCACACAGTGAAGGCCTGTAGGGCTCTTGTAACGCAGAACTGAAAGAAGCCACTGCTGGTCAACAAATGCAGCAGTGTCACAGACTTGAAATGGAGCTCCGACGTGGACTGGCTCTCAGCAGGTTCACCCAGACATACATCTTGGCTCAGACATTGCACAGATTAGTTGTTGTAGTTAGCTGATATGTGTTATATATGAGTATTTTTGTAACCCTCCAAGAGAGAAAAGAGAGCGCAAGAATGGAAGAACCAGTATTTTTTAAGCTACTCTCAAATCCTTTGAGTTAAGCAATCTTCTTTCTGCTTGATCAGACAAGCTTCATTATTGCTGCTATTTTTCCTTTTCTATTTTATTTTCCCCCTTAAAGGCAGCCTTAATGTTTCCAAGTTTTGATTACTGTGTCTTGTGGGGTTACTTCCAGGTCATGGAGCTGTAAGGAATATATGAACCAGATTGTGAAGGGGGGAAGCTTAAATATTATTTTCTAGTGTGTATATATATATAAATGTATATAATATTATATATAGTATATAATATAATACTCTTATTTTTCTATCACTTAGAAGAGGAGGCACGTTACGTCATGGTTACAAAAGTGTAGTTTTAGGCATGACTAAGTGTCTGAGGTTTAATGCAAAGGGGATGAGGTGAGTAAGAAGGGAGGAGGAGCTGGTATGCAAGGTGAGGGAAGTTACATGTGGATTTCTCAATTTTATTTTAAAGATGAGAAATAAAGACGTAACAATTTGTTGCTGACTCATCTCTTGAGGTAACATCAGATTCAGATATTCCATTTCCAGTACACAGCCAAAGCCCTGATGCATGAGAAGTAGGACTATGTGTTGTGGTGGACCTCCTGCCCTGTCCTTGTCGGGCAGAGGGAGAGGACCTAAGAGATGGAGAGGAAAGGAAACAAGTCTCAGCTCAGCATCACAGGCAAACCCCCTCCCTACTTACCTTAATTCCTCACAGAGTGTGTGCTCTCCTGAGCCATGTGAGGGGCATGCATTCCACTTGGCATCATTTGTGAGATTTATGTTAAGAGATTAAAAAATATATATATCAGAAAAGATATCTGAGAAGGAGATTTTTCCTTCTTAGTTTAAATAGCCTATAAGATAGTTGTTCATGCTGCTATGATGGACATGAAGTTCCCAAAGAAGAGTGCAACGTGTTTATGGCTGTTGCAGTTCTCAGCTATCAGAGGATCATCCAAAGAACTGGTATGAGCTGCACAATCTCAGCCAAGGCTCCAAAGGGCGTGCGGAAAGACTGACTTGCTGCTAATCTGTTTATCCATGCTCCCTGCTGAGGTTTCTGCAGTGGAGAACGGGTATCCAAGAACTGCCTTCCATTAAAGTTCTGAAAAAGGAATTTAAATAACAGAAGATTAAGAATGCTTAAGGAACAAAAGAGGATGTGATTTCTCTGATTCCCTGCGTGGTTTCAAAAGGGCAGTGCTGGGAGAAATTCAGGATATTTAGTGAATAAATCCCACTGCTGTCCTTAGCTTGGACAAGGGCAGGTTATAAGGCTAGTTCTCAAATAGGCCCAGAAGGATGTTGTTGCAGCCTTTGTGATGATCCCTGCTTTTGCGCTCTGAAATCAGTCCTGCACATCCTTGCTGCTGAGCAAAGCCACACACACCCTGGTGGGCTGCAAGTGTGTTTCTTTGCTGCTGTGAGGAGCAGGAGGTAGTTGTGGCTTAGTGAGCTACTGTCTGTTAGCTGAGCTCTTCGACCATTGCAAACATGAAAGTTTTTTTTGTGGGGTAGGGGGTTGTGTCTGCCTCCTGCCCACAGCTGCACTTTCTTGTTTATCTGAGCTTACAAGAATTTGAGTCAGGCTCCTCTGTTGCCCTACTTACTCTTACAGCATGAGTGGGGAACAATCATTCTCAAGGTCTGCTTGAAACTCCCTACTCACATCCTGTGGAGACCCTGCTTGCTGCGCTGGAGAATGTGAGTCAAGAGAGGCTGTTGAAGGAGAGAAGGGG